GTTGCAGAATCATTCAGGCTGCAGTCCACTTTTTCCAAGGATGATGGATTATACCACTTTACTTGATTGTCAAGATTATCTGGCATGCTGCTTGCAGGTCCATAGTAATAGTGGGTATTGGTTACTACTAGGCCAACCTATTTACTCACATCCTCCTTGTTCTTGATGAGTTTGAAAAGAGCAAGGAGAAGAACAGAAATTGTCAACTCTGTCACCACAACAAGAAGTATGTCAAAACAAATTATACTACTATTTCTGAGATGAGACAGAAGTTTGATAGATGTGATGGCTCCTTTTTTTTTCTGTGTTTGGCACTATAGAATTCCAGTCACTGGTTAGTACTACTACTACTACTGCTGCTGCTGCTGCTGCTACTACTACTACTACTACTGCTGCTGCTGCTGCTGCTACTACTACTACTACTACTACTACTACTACTAGTAGTAGTAGTAGTAGTGGTAGTAGTAATCCTCGCCCTACTATCTCTGGGCACATGACAATTTTTACAGAACACCTTCAGCTTAGGTGGAGCCATATTTGCTAAAAGGCAGAAGGATATGTTCTCAGATTAGTATGAGGATGATGACAACTGGAATGCTTTCTGTTGAGTTTCTTGTGAGAATTTTCCATTCATGCAACAGCACCTTAAAGTTGGGTGAGTTCAAGGTTGAATGAGTGCCAAATCAAGAAACATGTTCTTGGGAAACAGGAGAGTAAAAATAGAATCTTGATAAATTACAGAACAAACAAGTGTAAGCAAGAGTTGACAAAATCTGGCATGATCAACTCTAGTATTTGCAATATACTGAGTTCTATTTAAGACAAGAGAAGTTTTGGGAAGAATCAGAAAACAAAAACATCTAGTGTTTGCAACAACAAGAAGGGTACATTTCTATTCCAGTGAGGAACATTACTACATTCACTATTATGATGAGGCTTTAAGTATTTGGTTCAAGACACTGTAGCTCCTCTGGGGTGACAATTTCTGATACTACATTCTAAACTGTTCCAAATTTTAACTTGTAAGCAGTAGACCAGCATGCTGCAGTCAAAAAGGATTGTGAATTCAAACTTGCTGGTACAACTAAATCACCATTTATTCAACAGCAATCAAGAAGTAACATCCACATGCAGGAATGATAATTTATTGATGTGCAGATTATTTGGTTTTATTTCCCAGAATTTCACTGCCATTAATGATATTTTAGATCAATGGTGCATGGCTTGTTTTTTTGCTAGATGACCATCTGAGAAAGATGCAAAAACCACAACATGATGGATTACTACTGGTAGCACTATTCAAAATACCAGGTTGGAAAAATAGGGTGAACTGTGTTGAAGAGGAATCAATACTGTAAGTTATCAGGCAATTTTTAAACATATCACTGGTGTGCTTCAGAAGAAAAATCCTCTCATTATCATTAGTAAGTACATACAAAATGAATATGATTGTTTGAATCATACTGCTGATTCCACTTCGGTGGCCAGTTTCTAGATTAGTGGGCCATTTGAACATATGAAGTTGCACCATTGTCTTTGTTTGCTGACTGTTGTGCTGATCCTCGAGATCCAAGAGTCTCAGGCATAAAGTGGCCAAAAACGAGTATCGGAATAAAAGACAAGAAAAGAGACCCTGCCAGACTCGTCACATGACCGAAATTCTCGACAATATGTTGGCCGATAAAATTTGACAAGGTTCCACCTAATCCAAAACACGAAGCAGTTAGACCCATTACCACATTGAATCTCCCCGTTCCAAATGTGATGTCTGCAACCAAAAATGGATGGATTAGACCAAACAAACCACCGCCGATTCCATCAAGAATTTGTGTCGACAGGAGGTATGTCTGCCCGGCGTCTTTCCAGAAAATGATAAGTGCACATCGTATAGGCAACGACAAGATGCCAGCCAAAAATAGTGGTTTTCGTCCAACGCCTTGCTGAGTGAGCTTGTCACCGATCCAGGTTGCAGTAGCCTGACCAGATATAGGAAGATGTCATTAAGAACGGATGGATTTTTATCACAGTTGAGTACTAGAATACGATTGCAACAATCAGGAATATAAGCATCCGATCATCTTACCATCGTTACTTGAGCCAATACGATTGCACCTGCAATCAGAGGAATTGCTGCTCTACTTGGCGCTCCGTCTTCTCCATTTTCGCCACCCATCAGTTCTCCAAGCACAAGGAGTACATTAGCATTTGCAAAGCTATAAGGAAAAAATACAAACAGTAAGAAACCGGTCTTCGCAACGTCTGTTGTTGCACAAAAAACTTTACCCAACATTGACTATTGAACGAAAATGTTCTGACGTCGTATTACTCACTGGAAAAAGAAGCCAGTCACGCACAGCAGGAGACACCGCTTATCTGACATAACATCCCAATAGCTGCTGGCCTCTTGCTCCTCATATGATTTTCTGTTGCTTATCTGCTCCTCTACCTCATCGTCGTTTCCAGATTCTTCAACGAGCTGTTCGACATGTCCAAATTTGTCTAATGCCTGTTTGCCCATGAAACCGCGCCCCATCAATTTATCTCCTTCTGGCAAGAATCCGATGAAGAACACAGCTGTAAGAGCACTGGCAGCAATCACCAAAAAGCAAAGTTTGATGTTCGGATACATGAAATAGGCAACTAATCCGGCCAGAAAGGCCGCCACTACACTCCCAATGTGCCCCCATAAAGTGTTGCTAGCCATAATTGCATCAAAATGGTTCGGCCCAAATGTTGCTAGAACCAAAGCGGACAAGCACGGTCCGATGAAAGAAGAAGAGATTCCTTCAATGATTTTCGTGACGTAGATTAAGCCATGCTGAGAATTTCCTTCTACGAAGAAAATGGCACTCGCCGAGAGTGCTGTAAGAACACTTGCAACCGATAAGAATAGGCGCCTGTCGACATTTGTCTTATCAACCTAATTTAGAAATCAAGGCCGTAGACATGTGCGTGAGAGAAATTCATGAGTAGGATTTGTTTCGCGTCGATTCGTCTTTGAAAATGATCCCTGCTCTTACCAAATCCCCCGCAAATGTTTGTACTATTAACGCAGTGAACCCCATCATAGATAGAGCGGTCCCTATCGCCCCTTCATTCCAACCAAGGGTCACGAGGTAAATCCCCTAAAATGTATGACGTGATGAAGGAAAAGAGGATGAAAAAATTCAAGACGAAGAAAATCGAATCAATATCAGCTCCCACCGTTCAAAACTATGTTCTGCGAAAAAAATGTTGTTGACGCACCTGAAAGATGTTTAGACCATCGCCCAGTTCACCCAGCGAAAAGCTCACGATCAAGAAAGCTATTGCCGGTGATAAGGAACCTATAGATTTCATCGGGTTTACTGTCATTGTCGCTGTTTGGAAGATGAAATTGGTGTCTCGAGTATTCTTAAAAGAATGAATGCACCAGTCGAGCACCGAAAAATTTTATGAGTAAACTCCATGAACGGTGCGAGTACAAAAGAGTAAATCAAACCAAAGACGAAGATTGTCGTTAAAAATTGAAAATGGTAACCGTTATTAGTTCTTGCCGTTAAATTCCGTCCCAAAATAAGTAGTGCTGTTTACGGTGCACTGGACTAGTACTACTACTACCACTATCTTTTGTGCACAGCAGCCACTGACCTTGAAGAATTCTCACAGGCCTGGACTTACTGAAGAAACAAAAAGTGCAAAAAGAAACTTGCTTTTAGTGTAGATTAGTGTAGAATCCATGTAAACCCCAGTATCCCATTTTTTGCAAATAAATTGGTACTACCTCCTCCTTCACCAAAAACAGAACTCCTCCTCCCACCTTACTACTAGTAGTACTGGTGGTGGCATCATTAACTTGTTAGTTTTTGCATCATACTAGTAGAAACTATTTGCCTTAGCAAGCCAATCCACTGGTTTGATTTCTGTCAATTGGCTTGCTAACGCAAACAGCTACTACTACTCCTTGTACTACAGGAGGCAGTGCAAAAATTAAGTTATGCCAGCAAGGTGGTGGTGGAAAGTAATGCCCTGAAAAGAATTTAGAAGTTACTAATCAAAAATGAAAGCGCCATGGCTGATGTTTGTTGTTTCTGATATTCATTGATTTGTTGTGTATGTTGAGTACTATTGTTGTTGGTGAAGGTGTAAATATAGTAGTAAAGATGAGAAGAGGTGTTCATTAATGGAACAACAATAAGTTCTTGTAACTCTTCTTGAAAACACCACAAGGAGGAGGACCACAACAGCAAGAATATAAACCCAACAATTGCTTATTGTGGAAGACCAAGTTGAAACCAGAACATTTTCCAATTATCTTCCCTTTGATTTATCAACAGTTTTTGTTTTGGCGGGAGTATTCGCTGGGAATTGAGTTCAATGTAGTATTCCCTTCTGACTTATTTGAGTTTGATTGGTATTTTTTTATTCAGGTTTTTGTGGAAATCAAAATGTAGCTGTTGCTGCAGTGTTTTGAGAAGTTAAAGTAGTAACTTTATTTAGTCTTTTTCTTCAAGCACAACCCTTATCAATCCAACTTACTCAGCATCTACATATGCATCAAAATATCCATAAATGGTGATAATTTCACAATCCTGATACCCATTTTTCAGTTTAACAGACTAGTACTAGAATACACACATGATGACTCCATTTGCTTTTGATCTTTCACCAACATTTGTGTTGTCATCAATCATGACAGGTCTACTACCAATATAAACTTCGAGCATTGGATCTACTATCGTCCTTTTGGAAGATTTGGTTCCACCCACAAAAATGTCATTATCTGATCATGTTGCAGTACTAAGATTTAAGCAGTAGTAGTACTTCTGAGAATCTATTGACATGTCTCTGTATTTTTTCTTGTTATATGAATCTTCAGTTTTGCGTTTGAGGCCTTGATTACAACAGTGTGATCTGGCAATCTATCATTTATATTTTTGAGTGTTTGGTCATGTATTGCTTACTTGTCTACATTGTTGTATGTTGTATGATAAGCAATATCTTCTGGGGGTTTGTCCCAAGGTTATATAATTCTTACTATATTGTTTTTTTGATATGCTCTTCTTTCAAGCTACTTCTTCTTTAACCATCAAGAAGGCCCCCTGAAATTAAATCATGTTTTACATCATATTTTAACCTGTGTTTTATTTGTTTTACTAATTCAAGAATTGTTGTGTTGTTTTTTCTCTCCAAAGATAGGTCTTTTTACAAGATGGAGGAGTCTCCTCCCACTGGTTTGAGTTGGTTGGAGTCACCTGCAAAGACAATGGATAGATTGTGATTGAAATTATATCACAGCTTGTCATAATGAGAGTCTGGAATGTTGACAATGGTGATTATGACAAAATGATAGAATCAAGATTAGTCAGTCAGTGATTGTTGGTATGAAAGTTGTAGTCATCACAGAGCAGTATGTGCAATAACAGTTTGGTTTTATAAAGGCTCATGGGTGATTGTATGTGGCAGAGTCATGTAAGGAGAGAGCAGATTCCTATTCTCTGTGGTTTTAGGAGCCTCCTTGTTTGAAAACTTTCTGTGCTAATATTTTGCTCTATTGGAGCAAAGCAATAAAGCTTTCTGTGATCTCACTGTTCCCAAAAAGCAGTCTTTACACCAAGCATCATCATTAACAAAGGAGGGAGTCATATACTTTTTTTCCGCCCCATACTTGTCAAACTGAAGTCATATTGTTTCCCCCCTGACCCTGAAGCTTTGTTCCACATTATCCATCAATGCTCATGTGTTTTTTTGGCTACTAGTCATGTAGTTTTGTCCACTTCTGCTTTGATGACTGTATGGCTTGTGACACAATTTCTTATCAAGTCTTGCAAATGGGATTCTCTTTCATCATGTAAAAATAACCAGTTTGACTTTTGAATCCCCAATCATGACCATGACTCCTTATTTGTGTACTAGTAGTAGGAGTACTAGTACTTGCCCCATTTTCTGGTGGCTGCTACTAAATGTTATTGCAGATGATGTCATTGTTCATGTTGGCATTGCTATGCTCCATGAGGCTCTTCCCCAACTTTTTGGAGAGGAACTGACAGTATGATTTCTTCTTGTAGGACTCAAACTTGTCCAAGCAGCATACTACTAGTAGTAATACTAGTAGTATTGATACTACTATGTCACATTAGTACTACTAGTATCATAGTGCTAAATTCCAATTCTGGCAAAAAAAGTTGTTGTTTATTTCTCCTGATTGAATTTTTTCCTTTCGAATGCTGGTAGCTTCTTTGAGCTTCTAGCAGTTGTAGTAGTTTCAAAAGTCATCCTCAAGTACAGTACTAGAAGTACTACTGAGTTCATGAAGCACGTACAAAGTAAAGTACTGGGCCCTCCAGAACCCATGCACACATCCCCCTCTTTTGAATTCCTCCCCTGCTAGAAAAACCTGGGTTATTTTTTGTGAAAAATATCCCACATTTTAGAATTGTGGGTTATTTCATGGTGGTGGGAAAGATAACCCATGTTTCTAAAATGTGGGTTATTTTATTGGAAAAATAACCCATGAAAAACCACCATGAGTAACCCACAATTTAAAAGTCATTCGTAAGGTTAGAGGAGAACCAAGGACATTAAGTATTTTAGTCATGAATGTTAATTATTAATCAATGTTTTTTGGTGTTTGAAAATAGGACTGCACCAGCAGATTTGTGGGTTATTCATGGGTTAACCTTATTCATGGGTTAATCCATGAATAAAAGGTGGGTTATTTTGTGGGTTAACCCAGGAACCCACTTTTTAAAACCTGGGTTATTTTTGGTGAAAAACAACCCAAGTTTCTAAAACGTGGGTTATTTTATTGGAAAAATAACCCACGAAATCATGCCCCCAATGTTGGATTTCAAAGGGGGGATGTGCGCGCGTGGGTTCTGGAAGGCCCTGTATTCATACTTCACTTGCTAGTTTTATTTCGTTAAACGGGGGAAACACAGACCATCAACATGTGGTACAACTCTGAAATCTCACATCGGATGAATTTCTCCCTCATAAGAAGCCCTCGTCTAGTGGAGACAAAGGACAACAGACAGTAGTTGCCAACTCAAAAAGGTGTTTAGTTAATAATTTGAACTTCTGTGTTTGGGAGGAACGGACGACCGGATTTACGCCATCGCATCAACAAAATGCCTGTCCGAAGACCTAGACCATCAAAGAGTGTGGAAGACGAAAGGGCGCCGAAAAAGGTTGCACTGGAACCCAATGCAGTCTTCGACAAATCAGATAAACATGGGGCAATCGACCTTCACGATCTCTACAAGCGTTGTGTTTTGGAAAGCGACAAGATCCGACGACTGAAAAATATCCAGCGACACGAGGAACAGGGGGCATTAGAAGATATTATTTGGCCATTCCTCAAGCAAAATTTCGATTCGAAGGATTATTTTCATGCCTGCCATCTCTTGGTTCTCTTCGTGTCTCATCATTTCGCTGAGGGTGCATATGCTAACGAGTCCTTCTTCTTCGAAAGCGTCAGCCACAGCAACGATGATCTTGCAGCAATCGAAAAATTTCTCAGTACAATCTTGTACAAGACGGAGCAATCAGATTTTGACCTGCAAACACAAATTGTTCACTTTTTGGATGTTGCGTTGTGTCGCAGTGGGAACCGAGACGATGAATTGTTTCAGGGTATTCTCTTGCATGTATCTGGTATTCATCTGTGGCATTGGATGCCAGACCGTCAACGAGAACTAGAACTTAAAAAAAGCGCAGGACTCAGGCGGAAATTCGCCGGCTCCACAAAGGGCGACAACAAGATATGGATTGTAAATAACCTGAGGACAATCTTGAACCTTCTCGAGGGGAACTCAAAATTCGGAGCTCTTGTCAAATTCAAAGCCGACGAGACGATTGATCTGCCAGAGGACTCTGTTGACATACCTCCAGGAGTTTGGCTCTTCCTTCACCGTTCTTTAGAACTTTTGATTGATCTACTATCGATGGCATCCTCCCGATTCTTCCTAGTGGCCTATCTAAATTCGATTGATTTCAGTGTGCGGTGTCGCCTTGCTGTTGGAAACGAATTCGCTGTTCCTGAAAACTTGCGCCTTGTCCAATACCTCTTGACAAAAATAAATAGTCTTCTGGCGTTTCCAATTCAAGACTCGAATCACAGGAGTCTTTCGAAGATCGACGTTTTATCGATGCATCATGCCCGAGCTACCACTCTACAAAAAATGGCACACAGGCACTACCCTCAAGAGCTACAACAAGTTATATATGCAGGTGTAGGATTGTTGTGCGGTCAAGGCTCGATCAATGTTTCATATTTAGAGCGTTTTTTTGTTGGATTTTCGGACAAAAACTTGGCGCACCTACTCTACCGTATGCGATTGATTCCAGAGTCGGACGAAAGTCAGAGTAGAGAAACCATGCTGCAAATTTTGTCATATTATCTATCGATACCACCCTACCCTACGGATCAACTAAAACTTTATCCCTTATATCCAACGGAGGAGGTGTTATGGGATCTCAGCATCATCCCAGCCTCGAGCAGTCAACTTCGTCCGACACAGGTCCTCGCATTGCCAAAGTTGAATGCACAATACCTATCATTTCAAGACTATCTTATCCGCAACTTTGAACTTGTTCGCCTCGAGAGTGCCTATGATATTCGCTCCGACTTGGTGGATGCAATCAGGCGGGTCCGTCCTGTATTGCGTCAATCTAGTTTGGAGGAAGACGAAACTATCACTCTCAAGACAGAATTCAATGGATGGAGTCGAATGGCCTTGGAACTTGTTGAACCAATGAATATTATTGAAGTTAGACCGCCAAAGTTGGGAGAAACAACAAGTGCACAAGTGACTGCGGAATTCACGGTAGACTTGGAGCGATGCGGAGCGAGTATTAGAGGAGAATGGGAAGAGTTGGGAGAGTTTGATAATCTATTTTTGGTTACTCTTGACGCTTCCAAGATGAACGGTGCCCAAGCACCTTTAATGAAAGATTATCACCTACAGCATGGAGCTCACAAAATGTGGGACACCGATAAAGAGAAAAGAGTTCCAGATGAAGAAGACGGAAGCTTTCCGAAGAGATTTGGAGTAGTTGTCATTCGGGGATGTATGGTGATGCAGGTAAGAGATGAGCACGGGACTATACTGAGTGACCCAGGGGTATCTATTCCAGACAAACAAAAAGGATCGACGAAGAAGATATTCCGTGTGGCCATGGACACTTGTCAGTATTCATCAGACTCTAAACTCGGAGGGGCCAGTGATTTGTACAAGAGTTTCAATCTAGTCGTTCGGAGGCATGGCCGGGAAAACAACTTTAAGTCAATTCTTGAAACAATTCGTGGTTTGACCGAAGGGGCTGGATCCATTTCACGCGTTCTTCCGAAATGGCTTCAATCAATATTACTTGGAGCGGGAGATCCAAAATCTGCTTCATACAATTCCGACAATATGAAATCTTACGCATTGCATACTGTTGGCGTAAACAAGCCAACAGACTACTTAGATTTTGGCGACACCTTTTTGGACCAAAAGCATCTTCGTGCCTCGTTTCCCGAACAAAAAATCAAATTAGATGGGAATGAATTGACTGGTGATGGCGATTCAATCGACGGAAGACCGCGCTCGAACTTCAAGATTCGTTTCTCTCAGGATTTAGAGAACGGTAGCGAGAAACAATTGGTTGAGGCTGTTTCACTACCATTCCCAAAAGATATATCAGGGAATCCGGTACCATTTACTCCCGCGCAAGTGGAAGCGGTGAGATCTGGTCTCTCACCAGGATTAACGCTTGTAGTAGGGCCACCCGGAACGGGAAAAACAGATGTAGCGGTTCAGATTATAGCATCCCTTTATCATTCCTTTCCAACGCAGAGAACTGTTATCATTACACACTCGAATGCTGCGTTAAATGATATTTTCACGAAAGTGATGGCGCGTGGCGATATCGACGAACGTTATCTTGTCCGTCTTGGTGCGGGGGAACGTGATCTAGATACCAATTCTGATCACGACTTCACAAAAATTGGACGGGTCGCTTACTCCATTCAACGACGTGGGAAACTGTTGGAGAAAGTCCAATGCCTGTCCGAGTCATTAGGAATTAGCGGTAAGGCTCAACGCGGAGCAGACGGTTCGTCTTCTTACACATGCGAAAGTGCAGATTACTTTAGAAAACTACACATCGAACGAAAGAAGCTGGACTTTGAATCGAATGCAAGAAAAGCAGGCCTGTCATCAGATGGGGATGATGTTACCGAAATATTCCCTTTTACAAGTTACTTTCAAACCAAAGGAGTGACACTCACGCAAGCAAGGGAGCACTTTGGAGCAATCGATGGAATTTTTTCCGAATTAGCTGAGTACCGACCATTTGAAATGCTTCGCTCCCAACGACAAAGATCAGATTATCTTATTAATAAACAAGCTCGAGTTGTCGCCATGACATGCACGCATGCTGCCCTCGCAAGATCCAACCTGATCAAACTGGGCTTTGAATATGATAACATTGTTATGGAAGAGTCTGGACAAATGCTAGAAATTGAAACGTTCATACCAATGCTTTTACAGAAAGGAAGTTCTGATGAATCCGTGTCAGGGAGGTCCCGGTTGAAGAGAGTATGTATGTTGGGGGATCATAATCAGCTACCACCAGTCGTAAAGAATGCGTCATTTTCGAAGTACAGTAACTTGGACCAGAGTATGTTCACCCGCTTAATCAAACTTGGCGTTCCCTACATTCAACTTGATAAGCAAGGGCGAGCGAGACCTGAACTTAAGAATCTCTATGGGTAAGTTTCCGATGCCTATTTTTTGGCAAAACATCGAAACCAACACCAAATTCTGACTTTTTTCGAACCCTTTTGATTTATCTTTAATTTTCTCCATGATAAATAGCTGGCGATACAATGATTTGGGCAATCTAAGCCATGTCGTGGAGTCAAGTGAATTTCAACGCGCCAACCCCGGGTTTTTGCATACCTTCCAGGCCATAAACGTCGAAGATTTTCAAGGAAAGGGCGAGTCCACGCCGAGTGCATACTTTTATCAGAATCTAGGGGAAGCAGAGTACGTCGTGGCACTTTTTCAGTACATGGTCCTTATTGGATATCCGCCAGAAAAGATTTCTATTCTGACAACCTACAACGGACAGCGAGGATTGATCAATGACATCGTTTCGCAACGATGTGGTCCGGGTACACCACTCGCGGGAATAAGACCCAAAGCAGTTTCTACGGTGGATCAATATCAAGGCCAACAAAACGACTTCATTTTACTGTCCCTGGTGAGGACCAAAACAGTAGGACATTTGCGTGATGTTCGTCGTCTCGTGGTGGCCCTATCGAGAGCCAGACTCGGGTTATATGTATTTTATCGTCAATCAGTATTTGCCCGGTGTCACGAACTGAAAAAGTCGATTTGCCAGTTCGAAGAAAATAACAAGGGGAACAAATTGTGCCTTGTTATGGGAGAGACATATCCTTGTGAACGAAAGACAACTGATGACATCGAGGACAAGCAGCGTATCTATGAAGTCGATGACGTCTCCGTTCTTGGAACGCTTGTTCATAACATGCAGGAAGATATGATGGCAGATGGGGGTGAAGCTACTAACTAGGACACCTGCACTGGCGAAATAACACCGTTATCAAACTAACTCTGCTGGTTGTGTTTGATCAGATGTAGAGATTTTACTAATATAAAAAGTAGTTATGCAGGAATGTAATTGATCCATAGTCTCTAATTATTTTTCTTACGGTAGTGCAATACGATCATATGAGTAAGAATACTAGATTATATTGTATCTCTCAAATTGTTTTTGAATAGTAGAATCGCAAACAGCTACACTTCATGGCATAGGTCAGGTGCTTTATTTTGTGGGAAGAGTACCTCCACGGGCCAAGATGGCTTCTTCCCTCGGAGTGAGTTTGGTAGCTTCGGCAGCGAACTCGGCGTCGTCGACGGGTTCCATCGCCTTCTTTTCTTCTGCCGTCATTAGACGCTCCTTCCACATTGCGTTCTTGTAAGGTCGGCCTCCGCCGGTGGCTTCGTCCAAATCCCCTTCGTATTCGAGCTTTCGCTGGAAGGCTGGATTGTAAGGGGATCCTGGTTGTGTGTAATAGGCCTCGGGCTTGAATGCAGGGAGACCAACAATCGAGTTTCCGATTCCGTATCCACGGGAACGGATCTGTGTCTGTTGTTGCATGTGATTAAAGTTGAAAAGCTCGTTCTGGTAACCAATGTTGTGGTCGTAGGGTGCATCCGAGGGTGCGCTTGGTCGAATTCTCTTTTTCAACTCATCGATGTACTCCTCATCTTCTTCGGGAGTAGCGTCGTACATGGATGTGAGCCACCCGTGCCATCCCGGGGGAACTTGGCAAGAGTCAAAGTTGTGAATATCACCGGGTTCGACCCATCGGTGCTGTCCGAAAGGGTAGTCGACTTTGTTTTCGTAATAGCGATTTCCAGCGGCATCACAGCCCTTGTAAGTTCCAAACTTGAATGGATAATCACCATTCTTTGGATGGGATACATAAAAATATTCACCCAACAAAGGGAAAAATCAACACGAACAAATGGGTTGAGATATCACCATCAAGGTAGACACCAGGGAAATAAAAACGTTGACAACAATACGGCACGAAGCCAACATCATATGGGCCGATTGCGTGCAACGACACACCGTCTCTCTTTCACTCTCGAACTTACCGTGTACATAGCTTGGAAAAGTCCCTTCCATCCTCCTCGGTATTTGAGGGCCGCCTAGCGAAGTTGAACAAAAGCAAAAGCTGTTGATATGAGATTATACAGGTGGTAAAAGGTACAAGGCGCTTCATCTACAATCAATAATGAAAAAGAAACTAAGAAGTTTACGCACCTGTACGTTTTTGACGACGCTGAGTACCATGGTTCGGTTGAATTACTTGTATGAAATCGAGACTTCAATGAAGAATACTTCTTTCCAGCCTTGATGCAACGCCGAAAAAGGTCGGTGTCGATGAAACCCGATGTAACGACATCTCCATTGTCGAACTTCGCTAACGCACACACACAGCAGCGCGAACAAGCACTTCGTTGGAGCGCATACAGCTGATATTCACTTTCGGTTGCCCGGTTCGTAGTTCGTACTCGTACTCGTAGTACGTACGAGTATGAGTGTCCCACCTTTCGTACGGAACGGTACGGTACTCGTACCTACCGTACGGCTATGCTGCCTGCCTGCAGTCTGCAAATAATACACGTACTCGTACTCGTACTCGTCTTCGGTAACTTACCATGAGTAGTAGTACCGTACGGTTAAGGATGGTAAGCGAGGCGCATACCTCCGATGGAATAACAAACTCATTGACCCTTCAGTCTTTGTTATCTTTGTTATTAACCTTAACCTTATTATATTTCAGAGTAGAGGACGACAGAACGCACGTGAGAAACTTTTGAATCGTTTCATCGCAGATTTACATGAGCTAGAAGTGCAGTACTACTAGCACTAGTAGAGATGAGAGATTCTTGCACAATCACTTTTGTTGGCATGAATTTTCTTGGACTTTCATCAAACAGCATAGGATTATGATGAGTAGTAATAGGTTTTTCAATTTCTTCTTGGTCGTGTTGTGATCATTGTGATGGCCTACTATCAGCATCAACTTTGTAGGCAATTAGTGACGGTGCTGTAAGTGACCCTAAATTTTGCTTCTTGAGTTGCATAAAACATCCTGTTGCATTTTGATAAGGGGATGAAAGTATATGTAACTTGAACACATCTAGTGACCTCTTTCTTGTTTTTGAGTGCAACCAAAACTTGAATAGAGATAAAAATACTTTATAAGCATCATCGTCATCATACGGCAAGTTAGATGGTTCTATGTATTATTCTATCAGAAGAAGCAGATTGTAATTGGTACTTAGATCGGCTTCTTTCGTTTCTCCCCTGCGGTTTTTGGCGGCGCTGTGTTTCTCGATCGAGTGCATCGAGTGGCGAAAACACGATTCTGGTAACACATTTGCTGTAAAGCTATGATCGACGCGGCCTCCCTGTCCCAACAGCGATTGGGAATGACGTTTTGCTCGATCGTCGGGATTTGTAGTTTTCTCGATGCGGAAATTATTTCGCKGTACATTTTTCGTGAATCGTGCTTGTGTTGCTCTTCTGCCTTGTCCTGTCTTTGTTGCAGACGATCAAACAGGGAGCCCTTCGAATGATTGGTAGCAGGTGCAATGTACAATGCCATTAATACACCACGATCGGAATCTGCTGGGGCTAAGGCATTGTCCCTAGTGGGGCCGTCGTAAAAGCGAGAAACGATTTCGTTCGGAGCGCTCGATTCGATCCCAATGGCACTCGTCACCGTGACCGTAGACGACTCTAGGACTTTCTTCACCAAACGCTTGGCCAGCTTTTTCCTGCTCCAACCACTATCGGAGCCGTCGCTGCTTTGTTTTTTCGACGAGACCGGCGGTGTTTGGAACCGTGACTGGTGTTTGATCTCGTGGATCAGGGCGGTGAGGATCTGGAATTCGCTCGGGGCCGCCTGGTGCTGATCGGCGAGCCTTCCGACAAACTCCCGCTCGTTCAGGGTGACCACCACGCCATCGCCAAAGACCAAGTGGAGAATATTGGCATGGCCGACCTGCGACTTTGACGAAACGAGTTTTGACCGCCACAGCGAGCACACGATCACCCGAACCAATCGCCAGTGGATTTCGTCTCGTTTGTTGCCATCGATCGATATTTCGGTCGAGTGTGTTGGTACTGTGCATATGATGCTAAGACAAGTAGATTGCTGATGTTGCTGCTGCTGCTGTTGTTCGATTGCCGTGGATCGTGACCGATGCAATCTTTCGCCAGATCCGGCCGCAACGAGGAGTCTCTTCAGCGACGCGTCGAGAACATGGTTCGCATGGTGAAAGGCCAAGAGTGAGAGGATCTTGGAAGTGAATTCGGGAACGGTTCCGAACCGAACCCCCACCAGTGGGATGTTCGAAGCACCGCAGACCCGTCCCAGAATGTCGTGTTCCCGGGACGTCATGTCGCGAACGGCACCCAGGAAGAGGCACACGCGGTACGACGCTCCGGAGGATTCTCCGTCGTCCTCTTGTCGTGTCTGCGGTCCAAAACACGGAAATTCTTCGCTGGTTTCGTGCAGGGTGCCCGCTACCACTCGTGGGACCTCGGGCGAAGAACCACCCGTGCCGGGGGTTTTGTCCAGAGGAAATTCCAATAGGTTGCGGTAGATCGTCCTCAGCCGACGACCGTTGCCGTCGTTTTCGTCGTCGCTTTCGTCCGCAGAGTTCGTCGATGTCTGGCTTTGTTTCGTCCAGGCCTGCCAAATTTTCAACAGTTTTTGCTTGTTTGTCTTCCGCAGGACCACCTCGGGATGACTGTTGATTTTGTGTTCCCGAAGAAAGTCCATGGACACGTGTTTTTGGATGTATTCCAAGACCGCACGCTTGGTATCGATCTGTTCGATACTGCCGTGATTCGCACTTCTGCCGCTGCCGGAATTCGAGGAAGGTGTTGTTGCTTTCAGCGACAGAGCAGGATCCAAGTGAATGGTACACGTCATCCCGTTGAGGTGCACCGGCTTTCTGAGATTTTGAGCGGCTCTCTTCCACAGTTGGATGATGGTTTGTTCTTTGGGAAAGACACTCGCGCCGCCGTTGTCCTTTTCGTCGGCTCTGTCGCCGCCACCTATGGACATGTGCAATCGTGCAAGATCATCGTCGAACAAAAGCACCAGCTCCTTGTTCGATGCCGAGGCGTTCGCTCCGAACAGAAAGGAAGCCACGCAGCGGACCAGGGCATCCCGCCGTCCCCACCACTGCGATTCGTCGGATCCGGGTCGGTACGTATCTTTGTCGGCTCCGGCTCCCTTGCAAAACAAGACGACCCTCAGGTAGTCGCATCGGTTGTGCCTCGTTGCTTTCCGCACGGGATGGTTCGACATGCTGCTAGGCCTCGGACATGCTTCGTTTGCGGCTCATTTGGAATGCTGCTGTACTATACTCGTACCATACCATAACTGGTACATGCTGGAATTTGTTGGTCGACCGACGAACGTACGAAGAGTACCCGTAGCGTACGAGTACCATACTTCGCACGGCAGATATGGTAGACAAGAATACGACTACAACCATCGCTTTCTTTGTTTGGTGAACCACAGCTTCGTGTGACACCCGGTCTCCGTAGTTTTCGCTCCACATGCTCATACGTAAATGCCAGTACACTGGCCGTAGTCTTTTACGGGATTCCCTCTAAAAACAAAAATAGGATCGATGTTTACCATTGGTCCACGACTGACCCTTCGATTTCCGCCGGGCGCGCATCCCCGAATCGCTAACAGGCATTGGCACGAGTTCGATTTACGCGTCCGTTTACGAACTTAACTCTCGGCATTCACTACTTTGTGTTGGCGTGTCTTGATGCCGTTAGAAGATTAGATTAGATACAGTACTTGGGTACCGTACGTCCACAACACGAAGCGTACAGCGCCTTGCCCCACAACGATCGTCTCTCTTTCTCGTCCGCATCTTCTTGGCATCAGCATTCAATTCTTAGAAGCAAGTTGGCAGCAGGGTCGTTCCTATTCCTTGTTCCAATCGCATACATTCCCCCAGACTCCATCCTGTCTTCAGGTTCTACCCAACGCTACAGAAATGCCGCACGTCGAGTTGCCCTCGGCCGTATTCAAGGTGAGTTGATATTCTACGAGACCGACCGGTCCAGCAAACAGAAACACCGCAGCAACGACTCGGCACCTTGCGGTTTGGTGGGGTGCAGTGTTTGGCTATCGATGCGTTGAAAATTTACCGTGCTCGAAGTTTCCTCCTTTTCGCAAACCTCACCATTCCACGATCGGGTCGTTCTCGTTTTCGTTTTCGTTTTCGTTTTCGTTTTCGTTTTCGCTTTCGATCTGTTCCCTTTTAGGTCGTCATGCTGGGCGAGACCTTCACGGGAAAGACCTCGCTCGTGCTCCGATTCGCCGAAGGCCGCTACCGGGATAGTTCTTCCGATCCAACGGTTGGAGCCTCCTTCATTACCAAGCGACTCACCGTTCAGGGCGTTACCGCAAAGGTACAGATCTGGGACACGGCCGGGCAGGAGCAGTTCAAGAGACTGGCTCCCATGTATTACAAGAATGCCGCTGCTGCGGTGATTTGCTACGACGTGACGTCCCCAAAGTCCTTTGAAACGCTCGAGTACTGGATGAACGAGCTGCAGAAGAATTCACAGGCGCACGGCATGGTCATTGCCATGTGCGCAACCAAGTGCGATCTCGACAGGGACCCGGACACGTCCCAGGCAGAGGCTCTGGCCGCACAGACCGGGTCCATCTTCATGAAGACCTCCTCGAAAACAAACTCGAACGTCCAGCTGTTGTTTCAGAAAGTCATGGAACGGGTCCTAGATTGTCACAACGGTGTTGGCAGCACGAGCTCGCCGCCGGCGCCTCCAACAACAGAACTGAACAACGACGGAACCAACCAGAACACCAGCATCGACAAGGGGACGGGAGCGGGGAGTCAAAACGAAGCGACCGCACAAAAAAGCAGCGGTCGGTTCTCGGACGAGAAAAAGATGGAGCTGGAAGACAACGACGACGATGTAGTCGACGTCAAGCGGAAGGTGTCCGAGGACGGCTCTCTGAAGCACGCCAATGTGTCACGGTGCGATACCAGTCTCATGTGCGGCGAAGTGGTTGGGGAAGATGGATCCATTCGATGTGTCATACAATAAACAAACGAAACCAAGCTAGGCAACCACGATTCGGGTGGATCGCAATGAACGAAGCCAACGCAGCGCAAAACACAAAAGGACACGTCGCACGAAAAAATCCCGTTGAGTCGGCCGCTATCGAACGTTCACGGGAGATGGGGCAATCTGGTGGTTCGGCTCGAGCATGATAACAGCAAGTGCTTGGTTTGGTAGCAATCGGGAGGTGTGATAGGGATGCAGTATTCTTGGACGAAGAGGAGAAGGTATGCTAGTCAAGACGGGGGCAGAAAAAATCGAAATGGTGCCGCCTCTCATTATGAACAATGCTGCTGCGGACTTGCAGGATGAGAAGACCAAGGCGACTATTGGTGTGGGATGGAACATTACGGACGATTGCATATTTAGAGACTGCTGCATAAATAACACAACAATACATACACACCATAGGATTCAACCCCACCAACGCAACAGCAATGCATACACCAATCACTACAATACACATTTCAGTCGGTTTTTGCTGTTCGCAATATCGATGATGGACTACATTTGATATTTGTTGCAAGGCCGAGGAAATAACACAAATCACAAACATGCTGTTGTCGTTTACCAAAGCTACTTTAGTCCAGTAGAAATGTTGTCGCTCCGGCTGCTTCTAGTTCGTCATTTTCGTTTGTTTGAAGAAGGAAACAAAGATTTTTCTTTCAACAAGTTGCATACGAGCATTATCAGCTCAGCTATGAATCGTTGTGCGCAAACCCATGACCGATCCGGCGCGCCTGCTACGACAGGTCTTCCAGCGCGTACAGGTCCGTTCTCCGCTGGTTCTGGATGGGGATCCCGGCCCGCACCTCGGCGAGCCGGCCGAGGTCCAGGTCGGCAACCACGATGCCCTCGGTTTCGTCCGTGGTGGCAACGACGTCGCCCCAGGGCGAGACCACCGTGCTGTGCCCCCAGGCCGTGTAGTGGGGGTACCCCGCGTCGGTTTCGCCGCCGGCCGGAGGCTCTTCCGACCGAGCGGGGGACGCGGTCACGACGAAGCACTGGTTGTCGAGGGCCCTCGCCTTCTGGAGGAGTTCCCAGTGCGCCGGCCCGGTCGTCATGTTGAAGGCGCCCGGGTACACCAGGACCGAGCAGTTGTGTTTCTGCCGCAGCAGCATGGCGTACTCGGCGAACCGGATGTCGTAGCAAATCCCGACCCCGATCTCTCCAAAGGGGGTCGCAAAGTGGGAGACCGACGAGCCCGGGCTGAGGGTTTCCGACTCGAAAAAGGTGATTCCGCCGGGGACGTCGATGTCGAAGAGGTGCACCTTTCGGTGCTTGGCCACCACCACGCCCTCCGGGTTCAGGACGAGGCAGGTGTTGTAGATCTTTTCTTCGCCGTCCTCCAGGACTCGTTCGGGCACGCTTCCCCCGATGATCCACATGCCGTGGTCCCTGGCCGCCTGCATCAACAGCCGGGAGGCCGACGAGGACCATTTCGGACCGTCGCTTCCGCCATCGGCGCTTTCCAATCCGTCGCCGATGTCGGGGAGCGATTCGGCGTAGTCCGGGAATGCGGACGTGGCGTAGGGACTGTTCCAAATTTCCGGGAGTACCGCCATGGAGGCACCCTTTTCTTTTGCCTCCGCCAGGTAGGTTCTGGCGGTTTCCTCGTTGGCGTCCTTGTCGTGGCCCACGTGAAACTGGCAGAGAGCGACCCGAAGCATGGAGGCATCGGCTCGGTCCGCATCGGTAGAAGACATTCTCAGGGAAGACGACGACGACGAGGACGAGGACCACGACGCCAGCGACGACCGCAACGAGGAGGAAGACAGGTTTCTTCGAAAGGAACGGTGGCTGTGCCCCGAGTTGCCGTGCTGGTTTGCAATCGATCGGCGGGGAGCAAATGCCGTGGATGTGTCCAGCGCTGAGAACCTTGCGGCGGTCAATAGAAAGAAAGGGCGGGATGCAATCCTCATCGTACACTGGTACCGTGCGCACAGGTGCTCGAGAGACAACTGCGTGCTTGGTGGCGTGTGTTGTCGTTCGATGGTCGGCGGTGATTGTTCCCTAGGATATCGTACCGTGTGTGCCGTATCGGTTTAGCCGGGAGCCCAGGATACGATATCGATGATTGAAGCCGTAAGGTAAAGGTATGTTACTTTACGTACGGTACACGTACATACTCGTACCCGTCGTCGGTTCGTCCTCAATCAACGTCAAAATCTTGTTTTTTTCCAATTTCGCGCGTGGAACCGGTTCCAAAAATCTACGATATCGCGCGACTCACTGATGAAAATCTAACAAAAAAGTCTTATTTTTCCCATTTAAATTAAAAATGGTCCTTTTTTGTTTTCGATGTTTTGGACCATTCTCCTAGCCTGTTCCCGGAGGACGAAAACGAACAGCACATCCATCTCCATCAGACGGTAGCAAAGTCTCGAAGGAGCTTTTAGTGATTTTCCTCGACGCCTCGTAATCAAGAAGAACCGGAGGGTGCCAATCCATCATCTTGCAATGTTGCTCAAATCGTTGGGACGCTGCCGGGCACCGCGGACGCTGCTGCAACCGCCGAGCACGACCACCGCATCGGTCTTCGGCGGCGGCTCCCGGCGAAGCGTTCCCGTTGCCGATGGCAGGACTCGCCGCATTTGCCCGGCGCAGCGCGGGATGTCGTATTCGCGCATGCTGGACATGGGGGGAGCCCCTTCTGCGAAGAGCGATCAGTCGCTGATACGTACCGTCAACGCGAGCAAAAACAGCAAGCTCCAGGCCGTGGCATTTGATTTCAAGGTGCTGATCAATACAACCACGAACGATGCGAATGCAAACATAGACGGGAATCCAAAAGAGAACGGTGCCGCGGCGCCGGAGTGGTCCCGGACCGATCGATCCACCACTCGGCAATCACCACCACCGCTGCCACCACCCCCAACAACACCCCCAACGGGAGAACCGTCTGCAACGGCGAATTTCATAGACACCGATCGCATCAAGCAGGTGGCTTCGCTCCTGAACGTCAAGCTCGGCTCGTCGCCGGAGGAAACCGACCCCGTGCCTACCAAGAAAGCGCCGCCGAAACCAAAGGACTACGACCCCAGCGCCGCGGACATCCGGGCCAAGTACGCTTCCAAGCTCAAGGGCGGCCTCGCCGGAATCGAACTGGCCAAGTCGCAGGTCAGCGAGACCCTGACCAAGGGAGACGCCGCCGGCCACCTCGCGGCCCGGAAGATTGCTTTGATGGGCGACAACACCGCGGCGGGGGCGACCGGGGGCGGCTCCAAAAAGTGGCTGCCCTCGCAGGCGGCGACCCAGCTCCTCACCCTGCTGACGCACCGGAGCATCCGCGTCTGCCTGCTGCCGATCCTTTCGGCGGGTCCGGGAGGGGCCGACGGGTCCGGGGAGGAGCCGAGAATGGAGGATTTCGGGGCGCAGCTCAAGAACGTCGTCATCGACAACATGGTTCCGAGCCTCGGCAGCGGCGGCGACGGGGAAGACAACGAGGACGGCATCGAGAACGCGCTGAGAAAAGGGGTGCTGGACGAGCTGGACCTGGATCCCAACCGGGTCCTCCTGGTTTCGGACCGGGATGCCTACCTCCGCGCGGGGAGGGACATGGGCATGAACATCTGCAGGATACGCGCCAGGAACGCTCGCCGCGGGAACATTACGGCACAATACACGATCGAGTCCGTCGAGGAGGTCCGGGACGTCGTCAACGAAATCAACGGGATTTCCTTCAACGTTGTTCTGAACAGGTGACGGTGGTTGCGGCTGCAACCACGGCGATGGTGCTTGACGCATGTATTTCTTGCCTCCGACCACAGAACCGCTAGTTCGCAACTGTGCACAAAGAAATAGAATAGAAAGATTAAAATAAAAATCTCCGGGAACTCTTTGAATTATGTGYATGGGCGTCCCTCCGCATGCTTGGTAGGGTTCAATACGGCTTGCAGTTATGATTATATCTAGGGATATATATATTTATATATTATGAGTACAGACGAATCAATTCATCGGAGACAGCACTCGGTGTCAAAACTCCKAGATCGGTAAAGAGGAGGGTAATGAACTTTGCCGGTGTAAAGTCGCAGGGGGAGTTTTCGACCCTTACGTTGTCCGGAAGGTCTACCGGCGTGACCGAATGGCCTTGTGGTTGTTCTTCGATCTGGTCCTTCTCCTCTCCATCCTTTRATGTCGACGCTATGGTTGTATCGACAAAGCCGATGGGGCTATTGTTTCCCATCGCCGGCAGGTCTTGTTGGCTTAGGGGGTACAGCCGGGCGAACTTGTAGCTCTCCGACGCCACGTAAAAGGGTTTTCCGTGCGCCTTGGCACAGGTCGCCAGGGCGTAGGTTCCCATTTTGTTGACAAAGCCGCCGTTTTCGACCACGGCCTCGGCACCCACCAACACGACGTCCACGATTTCCATCACGTGCCCCATCGCAGAATCCAGCACGACCGTCGTCGGGATCTTGCTCTCGTGCGACGCGTAGGCCCTGGCGGCCTTGGCCCCCGCCGCGTCGGGGCGGCCCTCGAGCACGATGATGTCAAAGTGCTTGGTCTCGGCCGCCTTGAGCAGGATCGACGCCACGACCCGGCTCCATCCGTGYGTGAGGACGGTCTGTCCCTCCTGGATGAAATCGGCGGCGACGTGGGCGATCCGGTCCCKGGCCGCCAGGCTGATCCCCGCAAACCGCTGGCCGCGCTCCAGCACCTGGTTTCGGGAGGCCGCGAAATCCCCGTGTTCCAGAAAGGTCCGGGTGGCGTATTTGAGAAAGAGATCGCACCCGCTGGCCAGGGCAATCATGTTGCGGGCTCCRCCCGATCTCCCCGACGAGGAGTGCTGCCTCGGTTCTTGCTGCCGATCCAGGAAATCTTGCATCACGATTTCGCGGGCCTGCTTGAGCTCGGCCTGGAGCTCCATCATGGTGGTGGCATTGGACCGTTCGACGACCCCCAAGAGGGCCTTGATGGCAGCAACGGGCGTGGCCATGACACTCATGTCAAAGAGGGACGAGGGACGGCCGTCCCGTTTCAAGAAGCCGCGGAGATCCCGCAGCACCAGGGGAACCTCGGCGGCGGTATCTGTATCTTCTTTGTCGTTCCCACTGCCCCCGACGACGTCCTCGCGTTCTGCGCTCATTTTGTTGCGTCTTTCTCCTTTCCTTCTGCTGTACCGTTCTCAATGGTTGCTGATTGTGCTGCACACTTCTCTTCGAGTGAATCGTATCGCAGAGGTTSTTGTTGATGWCCTGGTTCTGGGTGTGTAGTTGAACAAAGTAGGCAAGACGGGTTTTGTTTCACAAAAAGAGTTTCCAATCGCGCGGGGTGTTTTGATGACGATGATCGGTACGTCCATCGTACGGACATCGGACCTCTCCCACGCTCTAGCGCACAAAGGACAACAACAATGCATCCAAGCASAATGAAATCGCGCTTTGTTTTTCTCATCAGGAGTCACCACCGGAAAATACGCAGAACCTCCTTCAATCCACACGAACCTATTTTTAATATTTTCTAGTCCTCTTTGTTATTGTAAACTGAGTGAAAGGAGGACGGGGGAAACCTCAGAAAATCTCATCTACATTTCTCACCATCAAACATACCGTACGGTAGCATTCTCAAGAACTCTCCTTGTCGAATGCAGCACCAACAACCTTGGTCGGAGCACAGAACAAAACAGCACCAATCACAAAGGGCAAAAGTAAAGAATCTACGTCCGGAGATCCATAAAGAGAGTAGATGGTGAACTGAATCATATTACAGTGTCTTTCATTCGAATCGAAGCAGCTGTGGAGATAGGAGATACCGGACCACTACAAGCATTATTACTCCCATTCCGAAGTCTTYGATTTTTCGCAATGGACAGTCGAAGAGGTTCTTGGCGGTAAGAGCGAAGAAAGTCGGGATGCGCTTCACGGATGGCATTGGTTTGTTGGCTACTTCCTGCTGAGATGATTCTGTATCGCCTGCCGCCGGGTCTTTTGTTCCGCTGCCCGTCGCATTTTCGAATCCATCTCATTGGTTTTGTTTCCTGTTGATACCTTTTTCCATAACAATCCTTGGAATGTCGCCGTGCTGTGTTCCCCCATCAGAGGAGGAGGAAACGACAGGGATCGTCCCGTGTCTTCCTATGCCTCTCTGGCCGCGGAYCCCCCACCTACGTACCTCGAACGAGAACGTGGAGAGGGTGAATTCCGGGGAGGTGGTCGTGGCAGAGGCAGGGGAAGAGGCCGCGGCAGGGGACGCGGTGGAAGAGGCCGGGGCCGCGGGAGGGGYGGMTCGTCCTTCCGGGATTCTTTCCGGGGAGGGGGCCGGGGCGGTAGTCCCGACGTCGGCGGCGGCATCCACAACGATCGGGGTCGAGCCARCAGGGATCGATTCGCGCCGTCGCTGTCGGACCGGGGAGCACCGGATCGACCGTCCCCGGGGCGCAGCAGCATGGGAGGCGCTTCCCGGACCAGCGGCGGCATCGCAGCASCWKCTGCTGCCGMKGCWCAGGAATCTAAGCGCGAGGACGACAGCGGCTACGAAAGCGGAGAACTCTCCCCGTCTCCGCCCAAACCGGTAGACATGGACCCTCCACCGAGGAGGATGGGGAGCGGTATCCCGAACCCCGGCGACAACTACGGCGGAGGCGTGAACCATCACATGGGATGTGACGATTTCGATCGCAGGGGCAGCGGAAGAATATTCAACGAGGAACGCGGCATGGGTCCCCCCGAYATTGGTGGAAACCCCTACTCGGGCCAACGGGATGGGCTGTCGATKCACYCACGGTATACGGACGATCGCGATCGTCCCCCGTTCGACTCCCGCGGTCCCATTGGCGGAAGAGGCCTCGAGCGAGGTGGAGACTACGACGACCGCGGCAGGGGGCGTGGAAGAGGCGACTTTGATGACCGCGGAGGAGGTAGGGGTCGCGGGCGTGGTGATTTTGACGACCGCATTGAGAGAGGCGGGAGAGGCCCGGGCGGAAAGGGGAGATTCGGCGGTGAGATCCTCGACGACCGAGGCAGGGGTCGAGGACTGGGAGAGAGAGGTGGCGGTAGGTTCCACGACGACAGAGGAGGAAGGAATTTCGAGGGCGGCCGTGGCAGAGGAGGAAGAGGTCGCGGCGGGATGGGGAGGTTTGGTGCCGCCGGTGTTGCCGGTAGGTTCGACGGCATGGACGGTGGCGGAAGAGGCCGAGGGGAGGGCAGGGACGGACGGTTCCACGACGAAAGGGGAGGAAGACACGGTGTTGGTGGAGGAAGGGATTCCTTCCGAAGAATGGGCGATTTCCCGCCACGCGATGGCGACAGAAATGGGCCACGACGTGACATGCCCTCGCCCCGTGCCGATGGTCCCCGAGACGCACCTCGCGACGGGCCGGTTCGAGACGGACACATGGAACTATTGCGAAGAGGAGAAGACCCAGCGAGAGATCTCCCTAGGGATTTCCAGCGGCGGGACGAACCCCGTGACTTTCCAAACAGAGATGAACCGAATAGAGATGGGCCAACCAGAGATTTTCCTAGAAAAGATGAACCCCGTGACTTTCCGAACCGAGATGGACCGATCAGGGATGGTCCCAGGGACTTTCCACCAAGAGATGGTCMAAAAAGGGATGGTTCAAGAGATTTTCCTCTGAGAGATGGTCCAAACAGGGATGGTCCCAGAGATTTTCCTCCAAGAGATGGTCCAAACAGGGATGGCCCAAGAGATTTCCCACAAAGAGAAGGACCTACTAGAGATGGTCCAAGAGACTTTTCCYCACGCGATGGTCTTGGGAGGGATGTTCCTAGAGATTTTTTGAAGCGTGACGAGCCTCGAGAGATGCATCGACKAGACGGACCGAGGAACTTCCCTCCAGGCGGGCCCCGAGATTTCCCACGGAGAGATGAACCTCTTCGAGATGGTTCGAGAGATTTTCCTCGGAGAGAAGAGCCAATGCGAGATGGTCCAAGAGACTTACTGCGGAGAGATGGACCTCGAGACTTTCCACGAGCAGATGAACCCGTRAGGGACGGAATGCGAGGGCTGCCTGGCGAGGGACCTCGCGAGGGACCCAGAGATGGACGAGAATCAATGTATATGCGTGAAGAGGATCGATACCAGSCACCTGGAAGACAATCTATAGGATGTGGTAGTTACAGCAATATTTTGAACGAAACCGACTTGAGAAAAGACCAGAACTTGGGACTTGCTTCGGAAAWTGATAGATTCAACAAACGTGGACGCGACGATCGTGATTTCCGCTCCATCGATCGCATCGAGAAACGACCGAGACCCGACGATTATGGTCCCCTACGAAACAGTGTTCAGCGACYGTTACCAAATTCTGATGACCGATCGTTTGGACCTCGGGACCGAGCTGCCGATGAAAGCACACTGAGGCCTGGACCACTAATGGGTAGCAGAAATAGTGGTGCTGGTTCTCYACCGCAGGACGATGKYAAGGGGCACGGTCAACCCGCGGGACTCCGTGATGATACAACTTCCAAACCATTTAATCGACCCGAATTTCCCCATGAASCGAAGAGGGATTACTATGGTCGTGAAGGCCATCCACMAATCAATTCTCCGTATGATCGGGGCCGTGATCACCCCATGGACGATGTTCGACCGGAACGGAGTCCATGTCCGGAAAGAGGTCGAGGAGAGCGTGGCCGTGGTGGACGCGGAGCGTTCCGAGGAAGGGGACGTGGYAACAGATCTGATTTTGGTAGAGGTGGCGGTGCAGAATTTGCCAGGAATTTCCCGCCAGGCGGTCGGGACTTTGATGGCAACAGAGATCCGAATTTAGATCCAACCTATCACAGAAATGATGAATCCWGGAATCGTCGGGATGTAGAAGGTGAACGCAGCTTTGACCCGGGCAACAACAGAGATCAACGCGAACGCGAGTCMCTTCCAAGTTTTTCGTCYTATGGCCAACTAGCTTCGAACGAAACACCTAAGCCAACAAAGGGCAATGCAAGCGCCAAGGGCTCTGCTGGAACCGCTCCTCAGGTTAGACCAGTCCAAGAGAGGAAAAAGTCAGAACCAAAAACATCGCMACCCGTTGTAGCAGAGACCCCGAAGAAAGCAAAACAAGTTTCCAAGAAGGAAGAAGAGAAAGAAACCGAATCCCGGCCAGCTCGCCCTCGTGCACCTACACCACCACCGAAAGGAAAGCCCACGGGTGTGATGCTTGCATTGGCGCGACTTCTAGAACTGGAAGCATCCATGGAATTTGCATACGCCAAGCACATGTTGCTTGTAAAGCAGCAAAAAGAGTTAGAAGAGCAATACAAAGTTCTCGAGACTCTGCCTGTGGGCATCGACGCGATCAAAGAAGATTTAGAACAGTAGTTTACTCTGTGTCTTGCACAAGTTGAAGTCATTTTTTTCTGGTCATAAGCTTTATACTGTCGTGCATCGATCGCTTTAAGAACATCGAAAACCACTAAGATTTGTAGTCACAATAGTGCTATGGAATTGAAAAGCATTGTGCATAGTAATCATATTTTTATAGGTAGGTTTCAAAACAGCTCATCGCCAAAAAATTTACAAGGGAAATTTGTTGGTTCGCATACGTGCATAAAAAGACTCTTGTTCTGACACGCCGCGATTACTTGAATTCTTCGCCGTGTTCAACGTCTCTGGTCACGGTGCTTACGCCAGATTCGTTGATCTCTTCTCTTCGTCTACTAGCTTCGCTGCAAGGGTCTTGGCAGATTCCACGGCGCGCTCCAGCATAGATACGACRTGTCGCTTATTCTCTATGCGGCTTCCGAATTGGGCGGAACTCAGCTGGAGGATTCCSGTCTCGTCGTTGAGCCGGTTGCCTACAATCTCTTTCAGCACCATCTTTTGCACGTCTGTGAGGGGAATGTGGCGGACGGCCACCTGGAGAATCACCCGGTGCTCGTTCGGCCTCACGAAGGGCTCCTCTAGGAGCCTTCCATAGGTTGTGGTTTTGTACTTCAGTTGGTGCTCGGGAACCCCGCACTTGAGATATTTCACRTCCGGGWACTGGAATTCTTTCGTCCCGAGAAACGTCTTGCCCTCGTCGATTGTGTCGAAAATATCCTGGAAGGGGGAGACGTAGCTGCTGTTRCCGCCGTTGTCATCGTTGATGGCAGCGGATCCRTAGCACCGTGAAGACGACGGTGYCACGGATTCGTGCTGTGCTGCCACCATTAAACGACACTGGTGAAAACTGGAATTGCCGTTGGCAATGGTTCTACTAGCACGCTGGCGGATGTTGCGGGTGGCAGCCCGTCTCATTGCGGATGTTACCGAGGTGGACATGTTTTTGCTACTTGCTACTTGCTGTTGCTGATGCTCTTTTCTGKTTTGTTTCTGATTGTTATGCGGGTCTCTGCTCTTGACCCAGCTACTTCCGGCCGATAAAGATCTATGAGAGGTTCACTATTCAATATCTTCTGCTATCTGACACAGAAGTACTTGTACCGTAGTAGTTTATTGGTATGAATTTAATATCAAAATTGCAAGTGCAGAGAATAATGGTGTGCTGTCACCGAGTGGATCCGGTATTTTTCATGCATGCAAAATGCAAAAGCATTGTATCTGGACACGAGCCTTTTGATTCTAGCGTCGAAGTCTGGTGAAAACCAATTTGCTCAGTAC